ATTTTTTTATTGAGTCGACGACTCGCGTGTCGTGCGATATGTACGAAGATAAAAAAAAAAAAACCCCCGGAAAACTCTTACGAAGTTTCCCAAGCGGACATGTTTTCTTCACGGGTTGGATCCCTGTCGAAAAAAAATTCTCGAACCGTTTGCCTCACGAAAAAATAATTTTCGAATGTTTTCTTAGTTTTGTCCACGTCTCCATCGCAACCTTGTAAAAATGTTTGAATGAAAGTACTCCCTAAATAAAAAAAAAAAAAGTAAAAGAAAGGTCTTTTATTTTTTTAATTTTTTTTTTTTTTTGTACGATGCGACGGGCAAACAAACAAACAAACAAACAAACAATACAATATAATACGTCACGCGCGTTTCATAATAATTATAAAATAATAATATTAATAATAATATAAATATATATTTAATAAAAACTTATCTAAATCTTGGGGTAAAAATTTACGAGAACTTATCCAATCTTTTATTTCGTCAATTTTCTCTTCGTTTTTTTTATACATATTTTACTATATTTAAATAATAATAATAATAATAATAATAATAATAATAATATGTATGTTTTTATTATTATTATTTTATATTATTATTATTATTATTTTAAGTAAAGTATATTTAAAAGGAATAAAATAAAATAGTCAAAATTTTACATCATTATTAAAAATTTTTAATTAATTCGTAAATACAAAAACAAAAAAAATAAAAATAAATAAATAAAAAAAAATTGTTTTTACAGTGTGAAATGTTTTGAAACGTTTTACGCGACGAATGACTTCACGCCATTGTGATTCACACACGCATGCGCACGTTATAAACAAAGATGGCGGAAGGCGAGAGCGAAGCGAAAGACAAAATTCAATTTAATAAAAAGAAAAGGATTAAAAATAGGAGGAAATCGTTGCCGACGAGTGACGATGACGCAGGAGAAAATGAAGATGATGATGATGATGATGATGATGTTCGGTAATTAAACGATTAACGTAAATTATTTTGTGTTTGTTTGTTGTTTGTTTGTTGGGTGTTGCATGACGACATGTGATTTTTTTAATTTTAATTTTAATTTTTTTTGTTTGTTGTATGTGAATTTCCAGCACGAAATTGGAAGAAATGAAAATGTTGCAAAAATTAAGAGCGAGACCGAACGGTGTCAACATCGTGGGTTTGGCATTGGGTAGGAAAATCGGCGAAGAAGAGGAAGAGGATATAGATGTGAAAGATCCGTTCAAAACGAAATCCGGAGGAATGATTAATATGAAAACGCTCAAAAGTGGTAAAATAAAAAAAATGGACGATGCTTACGACACGGGTATAGGAACACAATTTTCAGCTGAAACGAATAAGAGAGACGAGGATGAAGAAATGTGAGTGAGAAAAGTGTTTTCGAAATGAAAGAATAGTTTTTAAATGTGTTTAGAATTTGTCATGTTTGAATAATTTTTTTTTTTTTTTTTTTTTTCATATTCAAGGATGAAATTCATAGAAGATCAATTATCGAAGAAAAAAGGTTTGATGAAAGAAAAGAAAAGTGGGAAAAGCGATGATCAGGATGAGTCGTCAAAATCAAAATATTGTTCGCCTGAAGAAGCTGCTTTGCAAGCCATACCGGATCATTTGAGATCATCATCGATGCAAAGATCGGAAGAAATGTTGTCGCATCAAATGTTGAGCGGAATCCCCGAAGTTGATTTGGGAATCGAGTAAGTGTTTTTATTCGTAATATATAAATTTTTTGTGTTTGTGTCTGTCACTCCTTCGGTTTCCTTTATTTATTTGTTTGTTTGTTTGTTTGTTTGTTTTCAGTGCCAAAATTAGAAACATTGAAGCGACAGAAGAGGCTAAATTAAAATTATTATGGAGCGAACATAATAAAAAAGAAGGACCATCTCAATTTGTGCCCAGCAACATAACCGTTAACTTCATGCAACAAAACAAAAGTGAGTCATTTGTTCTTTTTGATTTATCGTAAAACCACCATTAAACCTCGGGGAGATTTCTTTCTCCAGGAAACCGATTTCCAAAAAAAATTTTTTTTTTTTTTTTCTCGTAAAAGAAGAGAACTAATGCTTGTTATTTTCGTTTCAGTGAACCAGGACGATTTGGAACCTCTTAGAAAAAGACAGAAAAATTACAAGAGGCCTACTGTGCAAATATTGGACGATGCTAAAATTGCAATCAAGAGGAAGGAAGGAGAAAAAGCAACGGATGATTATCATTACGAAAGATTTAAGAAACAATTCAGGCGATACTAATACGTCTCCGCCTCCGCCTCCTCCACCACCTCCACTCACGGATTCGACCGAGGACGTTAAACGTAAGTATATTATTTCTATACGTTATTACACACATTATTATTATTATTATTATCTTTATTCGTTTACTTGTTGAAGTTTTGTAAACCTCTATTCCAGGTGTACTCTACGCGGTTCATTGGGGGGGGGGTTAAATGGAGAATTCCGGAAAATCTGGGCCGTCCCACGTGGTGAGATCTCCTGCACGGTTTCTTCTTCTTCGGATGTCCTCCATTGAGTGCCGAACGGATCCCAAAGGCTCCCACGAAGATCGGATCCACTTCGGATCACCCTTTTCGTCCGCTTCTTCTTCGGATCCCTGGTGTTCTCCTTTCCGTCGGGGCGAAGACTTCTATTCTTCGGAGTTGTAGACCACGACGTCTTCGCCCGTTTCCTCCAAGAGTAGATGCTGGAATTCCGTTGGTGCCATTTCCGAAGAGTGTAGGCCGTCCCACGTGGTGCGATCTCCTGTACGGTGTCTTCTTCTCTTGAATTCTTCGAAATCTTCTTTCTTCGAGTGTGATCTCCTGTACGGTGTCTTCTTCTCTTCAATTCTTCTTTCTTCGAGTGCGGTCTCCTGTACGGCGTCTTCTTCTCTTCAATTCTTCGAAATCTTCTTTCTTCCAGTGCGATCTCCTGTACGGCGTCTTCTTCTCTTGAAATCTTCTGTAAATCTTCTTTCTTCGAGTGCGATCTCCTGTACGGCGTCTTCTTCTCTTGAAATCTTCTGTAAATCTTCTTTCTTCGAGTGTGATCTCCTGTAGGGTGTCTTCTTCTCTTGAAATCTTCTGTAAATCTTCTTTCTTCGAGTGTGATCTCCTGTACGGTGTCTTCTTCTCTTCAATTCTTCTTTCTTCGAGTGCGGTCTCCTGTACGATGTCTTCTTCTCTTGAATTCTTCGAAATCTTCTTTCTTCGAGTGCGGTCTCCTGTACGGTGTCTTCTTCTCTTGAATTCTTCTTTCTTCGAGTGTGATCTCCTGTACGGCGTCTTCTTCTCTTGAAATCTTCTGTAAATCTTCTTTCTTCGAGTGTGATCTCCTGTAGGGTGTCTTCTTCTCTTGAAATCTTCTGTAAATCTTCTTTCTTCGAGTGTGATCTCCTGTACGGTGTCTTCTTCTCTTCAATTCTTCTTTCTTCGAGTGCGGTCTCCTGTACGATGTCTTCTTCTCTTGAATTCTTCGAAATCTTCTTTCTTCGAGTGCGATCTCCTGTACGGTGTCTTCTTCTCTTGAATTCTTCGAAATCTTCTTTCTTCGAGTGTGATCTCCTGTACGGTGTCTTCTTCTCTTGAATTCTTCTTTCTTCGAGTGTGATCTCCTGTACGGTGTCTTCTTCTCTTGAATTCTTCGAAATCTTCTTTCTTCCAGTGCGATCTCCTGTACGGTTTCTTCTTCTTCTCTTGAATTCTTCGAAATCTTCTTTCTCGAGTGCGGTCTCCTGTACGGTTTCTTCTTCTTCTTGTTTTAAATTCTCCAAAATCTTCTTCGAATTTTCCTCCATTAAGTGTCGAATGGATCCCAGTAAAGCTCCCACGATGTTCGGAATAGTTTCCATTTCGAAAATTTCTGTTCTTCAGCTCTTTTGTCCTCTTCTTCTTTGGATCCCTGGTGTGCTCTTTTCCGTCGGTACGGGGACTTCCATTTTTCTCAGGATGATGTCCGGTTTGTTGGCTGCATGGACTTGCTGTCGTAAACGTGTTTCGAGTGTACCATTTCTTCGCCAGTTCATCCATTCCATTTTGTTGTGCTTTTTGAAGTATTCATTTTTTTCCAATATCGAACATTCGGAGATTTCGCACGTGTCATCTTGGCGGAGTTTGAGAGTGATCTTCTTTTAGTTATGGATCCACAATCCCTGGTCTTGAGCAGTCGTAATAAACGCGTTCGTTTCAACCCTTAATTTTCCACGCTGCGTTCACTCTTTTCCGTGTAGCTTTTTCTGCTCCCATTTGCCCTTTAATTTCTTCTGAGATTGTGAGCTCCGTGCTTATTTGAGAAGAACTCTTCTTTTCGTGATGTATTCCTAAGCTAAGATGAGGTGCTGCTGACGGGGGGGGGGGGATTCCAAGTATTTTCCCTTGTAGGCTTCAATTCGGCGTAGTCCTCTTCTCTCTTCTTTCCCACTAACGTTCTAAGCTTTAATATATATTTTTCTTTTCCAGGTTCGTGATTTCTTCTTTCGTCCAGTCTACGAGTCCAAAGCTGTATTCTATCACTGGAACTGCTGACGTGCGTGATGACGTTTATCTTTTTTTTTTCCATTTAGTTCCATGTAATTTGTAAATATAAATTCCAATATTTTATAATATATATTTTTTCTTCAGTCGAGTTTTGATGTCCTTATTGCTAT